TATATTTCAAAATATCTTTTTTTCGATTTACCTTTCGTATCTTCGAAATAATTTTTATATCACGTATGAGTAAATTACGATTTATAAAACAAAGAGATAAGAAAAAAGATTCAAAATTAGATCGAAATAGTAATAATAATATAATAGAAAAGAAAGACTCAAACTCATTTCAAAACTAGTATTTTTCTCCATTTCATATAAAGACCATTTATGTAGATAAAGATATTTATCCATATTTCAATCTATAGAAAATATACAAAATACCCACGACAAATACAATATATAACAATATTCAAGATACAACCCCATACGCCACATGACACACAACCCGTACGTACTAACTACCCATACAACACCACACACACGATTTAATCACAAAAACCTTTAATTTCCTCAACTTTATGCTATTTGAAAATTAACGAGAAAAAGATCTCGACTAATATCTCGTAATATCTCTATCTAAGCTACAAAACTAAAAATTTTACTCTAAAATCAAAATAATCCTCAATTAATATATATTACAGTTCATTTAAACGAAATAAAATTATCCTATTTCATTTTAGTAAATAATTCGATAAATTTTCAATTCTTTTTATCAGTATCAATCTCTATATTATCGTATAAGATTCGTATTTCAATAATATAGCAAAACCTATCATTTTGAATATTTTTCTAAAATAAATTCATTAATAAATCTCTTAATAATTTTCGAAGCTAATATATTAATATATATATATATATATATATATCCACTATGAATTCTTATAGCAATCTTTCAAACCAACTATTTAATCTTCGTCTATCTCAGAATTGCTTGAGAACGTTACTTCGAACAGAATACAATAGAAGCACAACAAATTAGAAACCCAATAAACCCAATCCTTAAGAGTAATGTGTAAGGAACCAATACTTTTGAGTCTTAATCCGGTTTCCAACTTTATGGGGCTTAATCTAATGATAATGATCAAAATATGAAATGAAATTAACTTAGAAGCCTCAATCATTATAATAGAATTTTGAATGCACTATGTTACACGAAGATTAACAACAAAAAACTATTGCACTCTGGACCCAAGCCTTTTGCAAATTCTGTAAACCCTAAATTCTATAAACCCTAAAACCCATATGGGAGTATTCGAATAAAGGGGTACCTTGTTTTGGGGTCCTTACAACAAGGATCCTACTATTCAGGGTGCTCTACAAAGGTCCCCCATTTTCGGAAACTCCCAAAGTCGATAAACCCTCAACTCAAAATTCCACTAAACACCAAATTCTGTAAACCCTAAACCCAAAGTCGATAAACCCCAAACCCTTTTTTCAGCCCCCTTCAGCAGCTTCGAAAGTCTATCACCTGACCTGCGTTGGGGGTCGCAACCCCGACAAACCCGAAAAAACCTCTTCTCAGCCTCTGGGGGATTTAGGGTTCAGGGCTTGAAGTTTAGGATAGGGTTTAGGGTTTAGGAATTAACTTATGTAAGGTTTAGGCGGTTTCAGGCTTTTGGTTCGAGGCTCCCAGGTAAGGTTGCAGAAAAAGTATGCAAAGAAAATTATGGTAAAACCATGTGCATACAGGGATGGTTGCCGGGTTTCGATGGCGGGTTTATGATTTGCTTTTGCTGGATTTAATGAACAGCTCCGAAGCATCAACGCTTTGACTTGACGCTGGCCACAACCTCTTTCAACACCCGCAATCTTCAACCCCCAGGCCATACAAAAAACCATCACCCTTGAACCCTAAACCCTGTGGGACCCTTATAGAAACCCTAGGATGGCTGAAAAAAACCCTTAAAAGGTTCAGGGTTAAGGGCCCTAGTCCCTAAACCCCGATCCCAAAATCCTAAACTCTACTCCCTAAATCCTCAACCTCGAACCAAAAACCTTCCGGCTGCCTCCGCGAGATGTGCTTCGCCGCGCGATGGCCCCAGGCTCCAGAGCATAGCCACGGAAGCCGGCCCTTTGACGTCTAGGGTTTAGGGTTTTTCATAGGGTCCTTCGGGGTCCTTGCACTTAATTCTTGTCATCTCTGGCCATCGTGTTCAGGGTTCCAGGGTTTAGAGACATGGGTTAGGCGTTTGGTGCCGTGGAAACCTAAAGCCTCTCAGCTGTAAGTCAAGATGAAGATCCTCGGCTTCTGCTTCTAGTCAGGGTGACTACCCACAGAGCCCAATACCCCTTAATCCGCCGAGGCCACAGGCCCAGGCGTCTTGGTGGTTACCTCAGGTACCCTCCACCTAATCCTCCTCTCTGCAGTCCAAATGTTTGGAGACACCCGTTTTTTGCGTTCGTTTGCCACCCCCTTGTCCGGCTTCCCTTCATTTTACCTGATTTGTTGGCCTGCCCCGCCTCCCAGACCCTCCCCCCTCCCCCCTCCCCTCTCCCCTCCTCCCCCCCTCCCCCCCTCCCTCCCCGTGCCCGGAAGATGGCGCTCGCACAATCGACACTCACCCGTTTCGAGGTTGGGGTTGAGAGGCCCGCTTAGCATGCTGTATACAACATCCACTGCCGCCTCGCCCTGCCGCTACAGAGCCGAGGCGGGCGGCGTAGCGTTAAAATTAAGGAATATTGCTTAAATCATAATATGAACGCCCTAATATTGTAAGGTATACTCTCTGGGTACTATACCGTCCTGATTTACAACTGATGTTCACAAAATCGCACACAGTGTTACAACTATTATGCATGCACTGCAACCGACACGGACAATTAAGCAAGGCTCGTATCATGGCAGGTCTAAGCGCAGAGCAACAATGACCATCATCATTATCACCCCTACCATTACCAATTTCGCAATCACCATCTGGCACAGCATGCTGCTGCTGCTGTTGCTGCAATCGGTGCTCGTCGCTGTTGCTGCTGTTGCTGTCGTTTCGAGTGTTGTTTCTGGTGCTGTTGTCGCTGTTGCCGTGGCTACGGCTGTGGCTGAGGCTGTGGCTGTGGTGTTGCTGTTGGTGATTGCTGTTAATGCTGTGGTTGCTGTTGTTGTTGCTGCTGGCGTTGTTGGTGTTGTTGCTGTTGTCGTGGTGGTTGTGGTTGTGGTTGTGGCTGCTGTTGTGGTTGTGGTTGTTGCTGTTGTTGTCGTTATGTCCACTTTTGTAATCATTAGTAGCATGGTGATTTTTATGACATGATTAACTACCAGACCTGACGTCTCCCCCCTCGCAGGTAAAGCTCAGGGGAACCTTGACAAATCTTGCGTGAACCCCACGATATCTTCCAATGCAACCAAGTCACGCTTGAGGGCTACCTTGCGGGGAGGGCCATCGAGGGCTTACTGTAATAGAGTGGGTAAGACTTGCAATCAGAATAGGGCTGTGGGCACCTGTTCCAAAAATCTTCAAGGTGCAGTGGGTTGCAGCTGCTGTGCCTGTAAACAGAAGCCCAAAAACATTGTCGCTGCTGTGCCGCTATGCCCGAACTTCAGCACTCTGCTCCTCTAAGAACCTGCATCAACAAGCGGAAAAGACTCGCCGATTCTCTTTGTACATCAAGCGAGAAGATCAACTCTCCTTTTTCAAGCCGATGTCAGCCGCAGACGAGACTGCAACATTTGTCTCGAAAAGCACACCTAGATTTGGCATGGCCGGTCGCCTTGGCCGTGACCGGGCTCCCCGGATCGGGTACCTTCGCCCTTCTTTCTACACCCTTTCGGACAACTGCCAATCCCCGCTGGGAAAGTCTTTTCTTGATGTCCTTTTCCCTCAATCGGACAATCGCAGCAGATCCATTGCGGCATCTGGGACATTAGATGGAAAGTGTGGATCGGAGGTGCCACACTCTCCCGGATCCCCCACACCGTGCACCCGCCCTGCTCGGGTCTTTGGGTACATCTTGTAGGGCATAGGCTGCCCGGAGGGAACGTTCTTTCGCCTTCTTGACAGACGCAGCAGATTTCCGACGCACCCCCTGATGCTGATGTAGTCGTGGTTGCGTCCTGGCTTAAGGTGCTCTCGTAGTCCAATGAATCTAGCTCGATGCTGCGATCGCCTCGCATTGCCCCGGCGAGACTCCCGGGACCTGTCCGCAGCGCGGCTGCCAGCAAGAGCATGCGATGCATCCTTACCTGCGTTGTAGTTTTGGGGCCCCTATAGGTATTTGTGAGTAGGTACCACTATAGGAACCACGAAGGGAAATTAAAGGGTGAAAAAGTTTCTCAAAGTGCCACCTCGCTGCGAACTTGATCAGAGTTGGTAGACAACGGCAGCCACGGGATGGGAGTTTCCGAAAACTAGGGTACCTTATTTTGGGGTACTTATAACCAGGATCCTAGTATTTAGGGTACCATATGAGGGTCCCCCTATCTTCGGAAACTCCCGGATTGAGCTTCAAGCAGGCTGCGGCTCCGGTGTCCGGTGGTGGGGCCCCTCTTCTACAGAAGCTTCGGAGCTGAGGCTTTGGTAAAACCCTAAACCCTAAACCCTAAAACCCTAAACCCTAAAACCCTAAACCGTAAAACCTAAACCCTAAAACCCTAAACCCTGAAAAAACCCTAAACCGTAAAACCTAAACCCTAAACCCTAAAACCTAAACCCTAAACCTCGATCCGACAAGGGGCTTCGAGGTTCAGGCTTTAGGAGTTTCTGTCAGTCATTCCCGATGCGATGGATACTACCCCCCATACACTAACAGTCTATAATAGGGCTGCTATTAAGGGCCTGATATATCCATAATAAGAATATTATCCAACTGCTACTGAGTGGGGGCAATATCCAACCGATGCGATGGGTTGCTTCTTAGTCCACGGTTTAGGGTTTAGGTTCCAGGTCGTGGGAGTTTATGAAAAGGGTTTCGGGTTCACTGGCATGAAAATGAGAATAGGGTTTTGGGTAGTAGTGTATCGTGCAACCATGCTGATTCTGCAAGGCTATAGTGTGACCAGGTACTGGACTTTGAAGTAACCATGGAGAAAAAAGTATAGACTTCTATTTCATAATGGTTCCTTTAAGGAACAGGTACCAAAAAAGTATTCAAGTATGGTACTCCAAACCCAGGGGTATTGAATCCTCTGCAGCAGTGCGAAGCCAAGTGTCTCTGATGGCAAAACCCTAAACCTGGGGGGCCTTAAGGGCTGTGCTTAGTTTCTTGCCTCGCATGCAACAAGTTGTAATGCTGTACTAGACCCCGGTCAGACTCCTTGGTTTAGGGTTTAGGGTTTGGGGTTTAGGGTTATCCGTTCTTGCCTTACTACTGATCGCTTACGCCTGACAGTACTCGAAGCGTTCACGCGTGATTCAATTGCTAGATGCAGGAACAGGCTTGCCCTTGGTGGCTTGAAACATCTTGCATACGTCTGAAGCTACTACGAATCCAGGGACCCCCAAAAGCACATTAGCATAATCATTATAAGGGGGTTTACATGGGATATCCTTATCCTAAGTTTTGCTTATGTGTTTTTTTTGGCCCTAGTTTCTTGATTTGCAACAATGACCCGCCCATGCATGACACCTAGGCTTAGAAAGACCATTCAGCAGAAACACCCCGCACCTTAAACATCTTAAACCATCAAGCCCGAGACACACGGGCACCTCCGAATACAAACCCTTCTGCGTCTAGGGACTTGAACGCCATACCACTTCAAGCCTTTGCAGGTAGTGGGAGAGCTAATATAGGGGCCTTAATACTTAGAATAGGGGTTTGGGGCCCAGTATACTATAGTTATAATAAGGAATCCCCCAAACCTTATTCTAATTTTTAAGGCCCCTATAGTATGCATAAAGAGTAGCCCTAAGGAACAACACTTTGGGGGTTCTCGTGAACGTTATGGTGATGATCTTGGTGATATTTCGACAACTATGTTCACTAGCGTAAACCCTAAACTGCCCCCTTGTCCCAGGTTTTCAATTAGCATTTGGCTGAAAAGGGGGTTTCCGAAAACAGGGGACCCTAATGTGGCACCCGGAATAGTAGGATCCTTATTTTAAGGACCCCCAAAGGAGGTACCCCCAGTTTTCGGAAACTCCCAAAATGACGTCCAAAAGCATTGTCGTTGCTGTGCCGCTACGCCCGAACTTCAAGACCTCTGCTCCTGCAAGAACCTTCATCAACAACGTGGACAAGAACCCTAAACCCTAAACCCCTAAAACCCTAAAACCCTGAAACCTAAAACCCCAAAACCCTAAACCCTAAAACACTAAACCCTAAACCCTAAAACCCTAAAACCCTAAACCCTAAACCCCAAAACCCTGTACATCAAGCGAGAAAATCAACTAAGGCCTGCGGAGCCCCTTTGTTCAAGCCGTTGAAGGAGATTTCAACATCCCCAGAGAGCCCAAGGGTTTAGGGTTTAGGGGTTTAGGGTTTAGGGACCCCTTAATTAAGGGATATACCTTAAATTATAAGGGGATTCATATTATGATTTAAGCTATTCCTTAATTAAGGGGTATTGGGCTCTCTGGGATCTGTCTCGAAAGGCAGAGCTAGACTATGCAGATCTTGTCGCCCTGGCCGTGGTTTGTCTGCCCAGGGCGTGTGCCTTCGCCCTTCTTTATGCAGCCTTGCGGACACATGCGGGCTCTTGGCAAAGTAACTTCGTTTGTTGCTGCGGCCCCACTTGGGTCAGGACAAACGCAGCACATCCAAAGAATGACTTGCGGGGGCTGGCGATACGTTGTTTGCTTCGGGAGTGTATGAGTCACTTCCATGCTGCACCCGCCCTGCTCCTCTGCTTGGACACATCTTGAAGGGCATATGCTGCCCGCAGGGTACGTTATTTCGCCCTCGTGACAGACGCAGCAAATCTCCGATCCATCCATCACAGATGTAGTCGTGGTTGTATCGTTCAAGGTGCTCTCGTACTTCGTGGCATCCCGCATGGCCCAAACGAAGCTCGGGGGACTTGTCCACAGCGCCATGGCCAGCAAGAGCATGCGATGCATCCTTCTGAATCTGGTAGACGACGCTAGTGATGCTAGTGATTGAGCTTCAAGCCGTTCGGTGTTAGAATATCCTCAGAGACGGAAAGGGCCCCTCTTCTTACGAGGGCTTGGGGCTTAATATAGGGGCCGTAATGATTAGAATAGGGTTTTGGGGCCCATTATACTATAATTATAATCAGGAAGCCCCCACAACAAACAGTATAGGTAATTATTGAAGTCCCTTTTGTTACGGCTTGTGAAAACTTCAGACCTCCGGCTCGGAGGGTGAGGTGTTGGGTTGGAGGTTCAAGCATCGATGCATCCGAGTTTTGGGCTTCAGGGTTTCTGTCAGGTCATAAAAGGGGGCCTTTCTAATTAGAATATGGTTTTGGGGCCCGTTATACTACAAGTATAAGAAGGAACCCCAAAACAGTGTTCGTAGTTTTCTGATGCTCCGATAGTAGTCCGCTTCTTTGGGGGGTGGCCTTGGGAGTTGCTGAGAGGGTTTCGGGTAGAACCCCAAGTCGGTTGCTTAGGGGCTGACTATCCTAGCCCAGAAAAGCTTCACATTTTGAACTCGGCTTTAGGGGTTTAGGGGATAGGGTTTAGGGGGTTTAGGGGTTTAGGGGTTAGGGTTTAGGGTTTAGCGTTCAGGGTTGGGGTTTGGGGTTTAGATGGTAGGACTATATAAACCCCCAACAAGTTAGAGGTTATCGGTTACCTACTCAGCTACTACGCAGCAAACCATGATAGATAGATTCTCCGTGTCAGTGTTGCGACATCTTCTCTTGGACCAACCACCGTACCCTCTGAATGCACTAAACCCAAAACACTCGCAGCACAGCTTCGGTAGATGCCGTCAAACAAGAAGTGCTCGAACTTGACTTTGGCTTTCCTTGGTTCGGTCGGCTTTCTGAGGAGCATGTTTCCGAGTTTAGGGTTTGTCGGCGGCCGTAAGCCCGCACCTTCAGTGCAGGTCACTATTACCTATGATAATAACAATAATTTCGGGGGCTCCTGATCATTAGAGGGGCCCCAAAACCCTATCAAGGACCCTATACTATGTGTTCTGCCCCTCTGCTGTACAATGCGGTTCGTTCCTGAAACAAAGAACTCCCTGGTCTTCGGCTTGTACAAGCCATGCTATAAAGGCCTTAACGATCAGAATAGGGTTTTGGGGTAAATGAAAACAACCAGAATAAGAAACCCTCAAAATAGTATAGGTAATTATTTGGGCCCCTACATTACCGCATCCTCTCTGACGCATAGCGATCAAGTCGTATTCCATTGTGTGGTGCGACGTGACAGACTTCTTCATCGTGCACTGTAGCAGAATGCACGACACCGAGGTTTCGAAGAGCCCCGGACCCCCGCAGAGGACCTAAAGCTTAGATCCCCTAATTTGGGACTCTATAGGAAACCCCCTTGGTAGATCCCTTCAGGTGTCTGCGGCTTGGAAAAGCTAATATAGGGGCCGTAGTAATTAGAACAAGGTTTTGGTGGTTCCTTATTCTGATTACAGTATAGTAGACCCCAAAACCCTATTCTGGTCTCTACTCAAGAGGGTGCACCAGTCACTCTGCTTTTCTTTGCTCGCCCTGACGTTCAGTCCGCTTAACCCGAAAACCCTATTCTAACTGCTAAAGCCCCAGCATTATGCAGGCTTGAGGGGCTTTGGGCCGTGAACAAGACACTGGCACTGCGAGAGAAGCAGCGACGGCTAGCCTGTTGCAATACAATCTCTGATGCCCGAAACCCTAAATCCCAAGCAGTGCATTAAAGCACTGCGACTACAGCTCTCCAAACGCAACCCGATGAGCACCATGACAGGAGAAGCAACTTCAAGCTGGGGATGTGTTACACAAAACATATGTTATTACTGCTATAGTTATGATTGTTGTTGTTGTTGCTGCTCGCGTCATTACTTCTACTGTTATAACTGTAATTATCGGTATGATTTCCATGATCATTAGTATTCCCATTTATATTATTTGTTATTGCTATTACTATAATTATGATGATGGCTATGACGATGCTTATGATTATGGTCAGGATGGTGATGTTGATATACAGTTACATACTTGTAGTATCTGCTTCGCGAAGTTGTGCACATCATGTACACGCAGGCCTTGCTGCTGGCATAATATCTTAATCGACTATAGTAGCATATCGTATGATAGAATATGACTTTCTTTAACCTAATATCGAAGTCCGCATTCTGAAGACAGTTTGGCTAGTTCTCTAAATTCGGGTCCCTTTGATAAGGGTGCCGTGTTATTTTGGGACCTAAACCGCGACCCTCGTTTGGAGAACTACCCAGAGAGCCCAATACCCCTTAAGTAGGAAATATAGCTTACATCAGAATATGAATCGCCTTATAATTTAAGGTATATTCCTTACTTAAGGGGTATTGGGCTCTCTGGGTACCCATTTGTACAGCCAGGGGACGGAGGCGCTTCCCACAGCCTCACTGAAGCCAGCGCAAAATTCGGGTTTGGGGTTTAATGTAGGAACCTGATTAAGAAACCTTGGGCCTTTGTTAGGGTTCCTATATTAATCCTACTATTTTCGGGTTCTAAGCCTACATTAGGGCTTTTAGGATTTTGGGCTCAGGGTTCTTGACGATATCGGGAATGAGGGTTTAGGTTTTTAGGGAGGTTCTACGAGATTCAAAGCTGTTTGCATTGGTTGGGTGGCAAAATCTCCAAAGCGCAGACTTTGGCAGCACTAAGAAGCAACATCACGTCAAAACGTTGTCGTTAAGTCAGGCTAAAGCAACAGCTACCACTAATCCCCGGTGTTACGTAACTGTAGGGGACGGACCTAATCCCCAAACCGGCAAGCTCAGACACGAACCCTGTATCCTGTACAAAAGGGGCCTCAGCAACTAGAAGGTTGTTGGGGTAAATTCTCGGAAACTTACAATACTCTACAATAATGAATTATTCAGAACTTCCATCGCCGTTGTAGCTGTGGTCCAGCGGAGAACGGTTTAGAGATGTAGGGTTTAGGGTGTCGCGTTTGAAGTTCGGGGTAGGTGCTGGCTCCCTGGGCGATTTGATTCAGGTGTCAAGAAGACCTGGAAACCCTAAACCCTAAACCGCGATTCTCCCAATTCCCAGCCCTTTAAACACAAACGTCAGGGCGTTTGGGCTTAGGGCCTAGGGTTGCTATGATGTGTAGAACGTTCTGCATGTGGGTTGCGCTTCATTTGAAGTAAACAGAGGACTCCGACACAGAAGCTTAGTCAATAATGAGTTGCTGCCTCATAATTACACAAAGCAACCAGAAATCGGAGAACACCCAAACAACATCGTAATACATACTATTTAATATTTTGAAGCTACGCACCCCGACGATTATGAGGCCCCAGCGACATGAAGGTCATCCTGCGCCCGGGTGGTTGTCAAAATTATGGTCCCTTCTTGGGTCCCTACTATCATACGGCCCCTATGATTCAGGGTACCCCAAAATCCTAAACCCTAAACCCTTTCAAAAGGGACCCTCATTTTGACCACGACTCACCCAAAACCTGCCCTACACACGAACATCAGGAACCCCGTCCTTCCAAACAAAAAGGAGCAGATTTGGGGTTTAGGAAAGGGATCTATAGGGTTCCTTTAAAAGGGATCTATAGGGTTCCTCAAAAGGGATCTATAGGGTTCCTTTACAAGGGATCTATAGGGTTCCTTAAAGAGGGATCTATAAGGGTTCCTTAAAGGGATCTATAGGGTTCCTTATAAGGGGATCTATAGGGGTCAGAGTCAGCCAAAATGCCAGTCTTCCTCTCCCCAGAGAGCCCAATACCCCTCAATTAGGGAATATAGCTTAGATCATAATACTGTATGAAACCCCCCTTATAGTTTAAGGTATATTCCTGAATTAAGGGGTATTGGGCTCTCTGGGTCCGTGTGCAGTTGCGGCGAAGCGGCACCCCGAAGCGAAGAAACTTCTTTGCCCAGCGAAGGGTAATCTGGGTGCAAAACGGACTTTAGGGCATCTAATATAGGGCTCCAAATAATTACCTATGCTATTGTGGGGGTTCCTTGTTATAATTATAGTATACTGGGCCCAAAACCATATTCTATTTTTGTAAGGCCCCAGAAAGTTTATAGCATCAGCATTTGACCTCAGCTCAGGGCTCTAGTGCTCCCAGGGCTGCGGTTTAAAGGGCCATGCTTCTGGAGTTGCGGGCTTAGGATTCGGTTCCGGGCACTGACACTGGTTGAGATGTAGGGGTGAAGGTGCCGGCTTCCAGTATGAAAGCCTTGTGATCACAGAGGTATGGGAGTTTCCGACCATAGGGGACCCAAATATAGTACCCCTAAGTAGTAGGATGCTTATTCTCAGGACCCCCCAAATAAGGGACCCTCCAATGTTCGGAAACTCCCTGCCCCTCCAAGTAGACCCTAAACCCTAAACCCCATGGATCCCTTTAGGGAACCCTCTAGATCCCTTTAAGGAACCCTATAGATCCCTTTAAGGAACCCCATAGATCCCTTTAAGGAACCCCTATAGATCCTTTTAAGGAACCCTATAGATCCCTTTAAGGAACCCCTATAGATCCCTTTAAGGAACCCCTATAGATCCCTTTTAAAGGAACCCTATAGATCCCTTTAGGGTCCCATATCTGAATGATCGCCTGCACTTTTGAAGACTGTTCTTCAGCCTCATTTTCGGGGCTGGGAGTCTCTGAAGATTTTGGGGGGGGGACCTTATTTTGGGGGCCCTTATAAGGATCCTACTACTTAGGGTACTAGATAAGGGTCCCCTATATTCGGAAACTCCCACTTTTGGAGGGTTGAAGACAAACTCGACATCCCTGATCTCAAATCCCTAATGTAGAGGCCTTAATCATTAGAATAGGGTTTGGGGGGCCCAATGTACTATATTCATAATCAGGAACCCCAAAATGGTATAGGTATTTATTTGCGCCCCTATCGTAGACCCCAAACCCCCAAACCTTCATCAGCGTCTGATTCTCCTGGCCTGGGGTTCCGCATGTTTCCCTCAATGGGCAAGGCGGTGTCGATTTAATTTCCCAAATTTATATTCTTGATTAGGGCTCTTTATGGCGCACTTAGGGAGATGAACCACTTCCCATATCGAGACCTAGTGAACCAGCAGCCTTGTTTCTGGAATGGTGCCTAACAGAACACCAGGTCCAGAAACAAGGTCGCAGCAAGGTACAGCAAGCAGCAAGCACTCCCTAAACCCCAAGCTATATCCCTAAACCCTAACCACCCTAAACCCTAAACCCCCTAAAACCCCAAGCCCTAAACCCTGAACCCCAAACTCCAGAACCCAGCTTTGGCCTCAACATGTTCATCCTCTCGAGCATGGCTCAAGGCTCTGTGCAATACAACGGGTTAAAAGTCGGGGCCGTAACAATCAGAATAGGGTTCCGGGGGGGGGGGGGGATCTTATACGAGTTATAATAGGGAACCACCAACATAGTATCGGTGACAACTGAAGCCGCCAAAGTAATCATCTTAAATCTTGAGGGTTTGAGATGCTATTTAAGGATGTGAACGGGGTCGAAGGCTTACCAGCCCTAGGCTCGAAGCCCTGCACTAGCCCAGACCTCAAACCGTGCAAAAGGCCTAGACCTCAAACCATGAACTAGGCTTGAAACCCTACCCTCGGGCTCAAAATAGCCCGAAAGCCAAGTATGTATATATATATATATAATATATATATATATGTATATATACTTGGCTGACTTCTGAACCCCTCCTCAAAGTTAAACTTTTAGCCCCCTTATTGTAGTCCATGTAGAAGCCCAAAAAGTTAAAGTCCTAAGAGCCAACCAGAAGAACGCCAAGTATATATATGATGGTCTTTGGGCCCAAAACCCTTAATATATGAGTCCTTAGAGCCCTAGGGCCAAACCACAACTGCCGCCCAGCAGCGTAGTAGTTGTTCAGCGCGACGGGTAGCCTCAACGCCAGCCCCGCTCTCCAAAACCCGAAACTCCAGGATATAACGGGCCTGAATTACTTGAGCAAGGTTGCTTTTAAAGAGTTTTTACAGGTTTCCTTACGCCCTAAACCCTAAACCCTAAACCCTAAATAGAGGTTAGCCCCTCGGCCCCTAAAGTTATTGCCATTATAGTCGAAAAGCGCTAGGCCCCTAAGATTTGAAACTCTACAGTCTCCAGGCTCTATCAGGGTAGTTCTCTCTTGGTGCGCTTGTTAAAAAAGGTGCCGTACTAATTTTGGTGACCCAAAAAGGGACTCTAATTTGGAGAACTACCCATCTAAAACCCTCATAGTACCCTTACAGCAGCCCTTGTAGAAACCCCTATAGATCCCTGAATAAGGGACCCTAACGTAGCCTGTACCCCTAAACCCTACACCCCAAACCCTAAACCCTACACCTTGGATCCCCTAAACCCCTATACCCCCTTTACCCCAAAACCCTGCACCCTAAACCCTAGACCCGAAACCCTACACCCTAAACCCTACACCCTAAACTGCCAGGGCACCCCGTGCCGGGCCGCAGGCGATTCACAACGCCCTGGAAAGGCCCGGTGCTGGAGGCATTGCCATGCTTCCTTGCTTCCATTTTAGGGGTTTAGGCTTTAGGGTTTAGGGATTTAGGTTTAGGGGTTTAGGTTTTAGGGGCTTAGGGATTTAGGGTTCGGCGGTTTAGATTTTAGGGGTTTAGGGGTTTAGCTTTAGGGAAGAGTGCGGAAGTGTGCCGCCGCCAGGACCCAAGCCCCATGCCTTGTGGTAGATTTACTCATCCTGACCGTCGGGCCGTGTAATTATCTGCTCATGAGCCTGCTTCGTAAGCTCAGCGCTCTCGGATTTCTCCTGCGGTTTAAATTTTAGCAGACCCAATTCTGGACATACCCGAATGCTTCGAACATGCGAGAAGAATGAGGAGTCTCAAGAATTCAGAAAGTTTCTAGAGCAAGGTGAAGTAACCCTACCTTTCGACTCTAAACCCTCGCAATATAGGGGCCTTAACCATTAGAACCGGGTTTTGTTGTATACTATACGATACTTCTAATAAGGCACCCCCATCCTAAACCCTAAACCCTATAGATCCCTATAGATCTCTTAAATAGGAGCCCTTAAGGATCCCTTTAAGGGAAGCATAGGTATGTGTATCTTAACGGTGCTTTAGAAGCCCTGACAGTTGCTCGTCCGCGCGACGACTTCTTGCCCTTCAGGGCCTGCATGGCCTTCTGGTCCAGGGAACCAACCGACTGGCGCCTGGGTTTGTTCAAAAGGGCTTTGGGTTTATTGTTTAAGGTTAGGGTTTCGGGTTTGTGCCTGGTTTTAGAAAAGGGCGTTGTGGAGGTGTATTATGGGGCTTTTACAACGGGTCGACAGTGTAAGCCATCACCATTTACGTTTCAGGGGGGCGAGGAAATACCGGTGTGATCTGGGGTAGGAAGCCCCCAGGAATGGTATTACGAATTATTCAAGCTATTGTATTTGAGGGCTCAGGCTCAGGGTTCGGATGGCACGCGGGTTTAGGCGTGACTTCGGGGATTAAGGCTCTATGCCTGCAAGATTTATGGGGTTCGCACAGGGGCTCTACAAGTGGTTCACGGTCGGGATCATTTCTATTTCCTATAGTGTTTTAAGTACCTATGGAATTGTCTCATGTTTGCCAGCAAGCCATGAGAAAGATAAGGGGTTTAGGGCTTGGAGTTTGGGGGTGCGGGTTTCGGGCTTTTGGGGGTTAGCGGGTTAGGATTCTCGGCCCTTTGGGTTGGCCCAAACGAAGCAAAGGATTCCATGTTTCCTTGTAGGGTTAGGGTTTAGGGTTCCTTGAGGTGCAAAATGGTGCGATCTTGGGGAACCTTTGTTGCACACACCCCCAATGTTACACGATAGCTTAGGGTTTGTCTGATTGTTTGTTGTAGCATATCATGGTATCCTCTGGGTTTTGTGCAGAACACAATGGGCTGCAAGCAAAGGGTGGCACACGCCATGCCCCCCCCCCCCCCCGCAAATGAAGGTGTAAGAAGTAGATTTTCTACAGGACCACTCTTATGGCATGCTGTAGGCTTTACCCGAGCAACTATTCATGTCTCACTTGTCTGTGCCTTTGGCTACCTTAGCCTTTATCCTTTACCGCACACAAACATCTTGCGAGCTACATCCTACACCAAGGTCGGCCTCAACCCACCACAACCTACTTTGTTGTAGTTCTTATTACAAAGCCCTCATAGGAAAAATTAATAGGTACCCTGCACAAACTTAGGTCCTGGTAGGCTAAGGTCTGACGCCCACACCCTAGCTCCGACACTCCTTACAGGCTTTGGGTGTTCGCTTCGGGCTTTCGGGCAGTGAGCCGTTGAGGTGTGTGGGTTCAAGGTTTGCGGTTTAGGACGTTGGGAATTCAGGGTTCGGGATTCTAAGGCGGGTCCGCACTCCCTCAAATTTCTGCCATCCAGCGACGGATTCAGCGCCACGAAGTCCGTCTTCAGTGGCAGTTTGCCCAGCAGCTCGTTCCGCCTTGCACAAGGTCGTGGGTGGGCGGCTCTGCCCTAAATCGGTGCCCCGTTGTTCCTGCAACCCTACACTCCTACAATTATAACGCTCTGCGCTGACATGGACCTACCCAGAGACTCCAATATCCCTTAATTAAGGAATTTACCTTAAATTATAGTAGGCTCCTTAATATGGTTTTAAGGTATGTTCCTTAAGTAAGGGATATTGGAGTCTCTGGCTACCCCCAATCATTGCCACAGCTCAGGAAGCCTTGTCGGAAAGACCCGGGATCTAATCTACTGAACTGCAGCCCTAGGGGTTGAGGGTTTCGGAAAACCCAAACCTATACTAAGACTAAGAGTAACCTAGGAATAAAAAGGGGCTTATAAGGGAACCTGAACCCTAAAAAAGGGAATAAGGGCCTACTCTAGGTCCGAGTATACTGAGCTTAGAACCCTAGCAACAACAATTATAATTCTAGCTGTTTTTTAGGGATTATAATAACCCAAAACTAAAAATTATTTCTACTTACCCCTAAGAAACCCGTATTCCCCTTTCTGGACTTCACTACCCGCCTTGAGCGGAAGCTGAAGCAGAGATTTTCCGAATCCTCGAGCGTGGCCGATTTTTGGTTTAAAGGGGGTCATAAGGAAACCTAAACCCTAAAAAAAAGACATGAGGGCCTACTCTGGGTCCCGGTCTTTTTGCTTTTTAACGGGGGAGGCACGTGGGAGATTCGTCGAACCTGGGTTTGGGGTGGGTTTAGGGCTTGGAGAGTGCTCATAGACCCTGTCGTGGTAAGGACCTACTCTGGTTCTTTATGTAGGGTATAGGCTTTGGGGTTCAAGGGGGCGTTAGAAGGTTGAAAAGGAAACACTACGGATCTGTAGGGGCGGTTTACGACAGGCGGGGGATTTCGGGTTGGGAGTTTTCGGGTGAGCCAGAAGCCCCTACCGCACCTGAAACCTCTGAGACATTTTGTGGCCTTCTACAGAGCTTTGATCTTCAACTTCCATCCCTAAACCCTAAACCCTAAACCCTACACCCTAAACCGTGCGGTTTACAGTACGGCTAAAGCTGTCTCGCAGCTGCAGGGTTGGTTTTGGGACTTTTTGGGGTCGAGGGTCAGTCTCTAGATCCGAGAATCTAGGGACGACTCGAACAAACGTGGTCTTCTGGGGCTGACGCATCAGTATACCGATTGGTGCTGTGGCTTTCCTAAGATGAAATACAAATGAGAGTCTGTTGGCACTTCAACATTAGGGTTCTGAGTTTGGGATACTGTGAAGGGTTTATCTAGGTGATTGTCGCATCTCGTCACTTCAACGTGAAGCCGTCCTCGATGATGTTCGCGCTTTGGATGTTCCTAGCCGGCAAGCGGTTCTGTGCGGATTCGGCGTCAAGGCTTGGGGTTTAGGGTTCAGCGATAATCTACGGGCCTTCATGATTAGAATGAGCTGCACCGGCCTTAATAATTAGAATAACGTGTTGGGGTATATTTTACTATAACCATGATAAGGAACCCCCAAAATTAGTATAGGGAATTATTAAGGCCCTTAAAGTATGTCATGTGAGAACCATGTCGGGATTACAAGGGCGTCCTCGATGACAAAGCTCTGAAACCCGAAGGTGGTGGCGGTGCCGCGGCTTGTAATACAGGGCGCCCTCGTGGTGGTAGATTATAGTAGACTGAAACTACACAAGAACTATGAACTATGGATCCCTTGTTGAAATCCGTCGAAGGGTTCGTGCAGGTTTTAGGGTAACTGAGAAGTTACATAGGAACAGAATCCAAATAATGTAGGGGCCTCAATAATTAGACAAGGGTTTGGGGGTATATTCTACTATGATTATAAGAAGGAGCCCCCCTAAAACCCTGTTAAAATTGTTAAGGCCTCCTCACGATAGTACCCTGATGGTAGCCCTTATCTAGACCCCTTTAATGAAGACGTAAAGGAGCCCGACCGGCCGCATTCCATTTTTTGAGGGCCCCTGAACTGGACTCTGAAGTAACCAGGGAGAAGAAAGTATAGACTTTTATTTCATAATGGTTCAGGGTTTAGGGTTTAGGGGTTTAGGGGTTTAGGGTTTAGGGTTCCTTTAAGGAACAGGTACCAAAAACAAGTATTCAAGTATGGTACTCCAAACCCGGTAGAGTACGTCGGGGTTTAGGGATGGGCTCGATGAGCTGGTACTCGGAAGGGAAGAAGCCCGAATCTCTTAGAAACCCCCCGAATACAGGGTCACTTCAGAGACTCCAAGATCCCTAAACATAGGAAGTTCCTTAAACCCTATGAGGGATCCTACTATAATTTTAAGGTATGTCCCTCAATTAAGGGATATTGGTGACATTGGAGTCTCTGGGTCATTTTGTTCTCGTGGCCGTTCTGGGGCTTGAAGCCGAGCTTCTGATTCGCCATCAGCTTCCAAAGCCTCATGTGGGACGCGGCCTCCCTGGGCGACAGTTGGCTGAAGGGTTCTCGGGGTTTAGGGTTTAGGGTTTAGCCACGGTTTAGGGTTTAGGGGAAGCGTTCTCGGGGTTTAGGGCTTTGGGTTGAGGCTTCGTTGAACCTGTGCATGGAACCACAGGAGATCTATAACGCATCGGGCTTCCGGCGATTGTGCTTGGGATTGACGGCGTAACCTTGGGATAAACAAATATTCCCAGCACCGACGCTGCGAAGGTATTATAGTTGCTGTTGTGTTTCTCCATTTATTTAAAGGGCCTTGCAGAATCCTGAAAAGACTCCTTACAAACACCCGTGACGATCCCTTGTAGAAGCCTCCCTGGAGTCTAAGCCCTGAACCCTCCTCCCTAAACCCTAAGACCGTGTAGAACCCTTATAAAGCCCTTCAAGGAGCCCGTGAAGGGACCCTAAACCCGAATGCAGGGGCCGTAACAATTAGAATAGGGTTTTGGGGGTTCCTTGTTACAATCATGGTATAATATACCTCCAGCCCCAATTCTAAGTATCAATGCCCCTATATTGCACTACCCCAAAAGATCCCTTATAGTAGCCTTTATAGCCCCCTTCAAAGGAACCCTATTCTGATTATGAAGGCCCCGATACTACACCCTTTTCCTTACCGGCCCAGTCTCTAAGTCCGAAACCTTCATCCTTAAACCCTAAGACCGTATAGAACCCTCCTAAAGCCCCTGAAAGGAGCCCTGAAAGGAACCCTACGCCCTAAACCCTAAACAACCCTAAACCCTAAACCCCTAAACCCTAAACCCCAGACCCTAAACCCCTAAACCCTTTCGTTGCCGGCCCAGTCTCTCAATGGCAGCACGGGATCCTGGATGGCCTGAGAGGCACCCATGAGGTGTCTTTAGCCCAAGTCAAAAGGAAGGTAGGGCCCTTTAAAAGGTTCTTTTAAGTGCCCCTTTACAGGCTGGATTAAGGGTTCTATAAGGTCTGAAGACTTAGGGTTTAAGTTAACGTTTGGGTTTTTGAGGTTTAGGGGCCTTTATGATTTAGCTGGAGCTTCGGGCGGCATGCTCCAGGTTCTATGTATTCTTGTACTTGTTGTCTTGCTGTGCCAGTTTGTTGAAATGGAGGGGTTGCAAAAACTTTTCAGGTCAATGTGTCCTTTTCTGACCCTGTTGTGTGCGGGAGATTCTTGCAGTTAGGGGGGGGTGTCCCTTCCTCCAAGATCCACTTCCTCGGGGCTCTTTCACCAGGTTCCTACTTTTGATGAATCTTTCACGTGGAGATTCAGGTCTGTTGCTTTTGAGTTCAGGCTTTTGGGACCACGGAGTTCAGGATTTGGGATTTCCCACGTGCGGAGATCCTGCATCCCACCAACAGATCTGAAAACCACAGGCCCTCATCCGAAACCTTAAACCCTCCTAACCTCACAGCTCTAGAACCCTGCGGATAGCTGCCAGGACACCCACCCAAAGACCTCAATATCCGTTTGATTAGCAGCCCTTAATAGGAACTATAGATAGCCCTAGACACACCAATGGAATCGATAAACAACCAGCAGGAGGGTACAGTACTCCGTAAGCCAGAAGTCCTACATGCTAGAAAGCCACAGAAAAACCTCGGAGATACTGTCTAAAACAATAGAAAAACCCCGTGTTGCACTGCTGTGAACAACTTGTAAGACTCTAAAAGATCATGTTACGCTCTTACAGGAGCTGGAAAAAAGTCATGATTATGTACACATACCAGACGCTGAAAAACCTAAAAGCTCATGCTTAAGAAACCAGATGGAAAATCTACAAAATCCTATCAAGCCCGTTTAGAACACTGACAAAATTCCGCAACGTCATAGCACAACCTTATGCAGAAAGTGCCCTGTGAGCTCCGAGCGGTTCCACACATCCAAAGCTTTCCTGGGTTTGAGAAGGCAACTTTGGAGAGGGCAGGGCTTGGGGTTACATGTTCATACTAAGAGTATACTGTACTATAGGCCATCATAGATACTGGTTTTTGTACCATACTATATTTGAGGGTTTTGGAGTCCAAGGTTCAGGGTTTTAGGGGGTTAGGCTTGAAGGGCGTAGGGTTTAGGTTCAAGGTTTGGGGTTGCGACTTTGAGTTGTAATAAGCGTTTAGGATTCAGGTCTTGTCGTAAACTCACGGTGGGAAGCTTTTAAATTCGGGGCTAGGGAAAGGGGGTTCGTCAAGTCTGGGCACTTGTTGAATGTGAGGAGATTTTGGGATGAGATGGCATGTTCCCCGTAGTCGGCGTTGTCTTCTGGAGAGTGCCACGGAATGCGGGCTTGTGTTTCTCTGGCATAATTGTGTCTTTTCTTAGGTTTTTGTCATGAATGTCTGATACATCCCACAGACAGCAAATGACAGCATCTCACTGCCCAGCTTGTAAACAAGCTGAGGTCGGGACCTCAGGCAACTGCTTATCATCTGCAACGTGCCAACGACATGCACCCAATGCGAAGCATCAACTGCTGTATAAGATCTTCAGAACACCATTCCTTCGCAGGGTGTATGTCGATGCGACAGAAGTCGTCGTGAACTGTGCTCTTGCAATGCTCTTGCATCTGCGGACTCCAAATATGTCGTCTTGTCGTTACTTCATAAAGACACGACATGATAGCAATGAGCGCTTTCTTATGTTTTGCATACATTCGAACACGAATCACTGTCGCTAAGAAGACATACACTACGGCGCATTACTTGATGCGTGCCTGTGTGGAGGTCGCCATGCCATGCTTACTCTAATTTTCATGGCCTTGGGCTTGGATTTCAGATGGACCTTCTTCACGGATCGGGGGTTCTTCTTCACGGCAGAGGAAGACGTAGAACACGCTGGTCGACGACAGACGTACTTGTGGGATACTGGCATTCTCAGTATCCCAGCGGCCTGGGCGATCGTGGCCCTGGCGCTAAAAGCATTCATGTGCTTCATTTAGTTGCGGCGAAGGACGCTATTGTGATTCTTGACATAAACCAAGACGACGAACATGTGCGAGTTGACGCCCTTGGTATTGAAACAAGAGGCGTAGTTGCGGAACCAGCAGAATGTTTGCTCGGCAGTGGATGAGTTGACATTGCGATGTGATCTGTTTGAAGGGCTTTTGGGCCGTTGCATGGTTTACGCAGTCAATCTGGGGGCCCCATGACACCACGTCCGGGAGAAAGTCGGTGGCTGCTTGATTTCTCCGGGTCTTTCATAGCGGACACGGACAAGACGAACCCAGTAGACGGATCGAAAGCCATGAACTAGCCATTTTGTCGAAAAGGCTTCTTCCCATCCTTGCGTGGTCTCCCTGGATGCGATGGTTGTGTCCCGGAGCACTTTGCTGCGACCTTCTGATGTCCGTCCATGACGACCTCCTTAACCTCTGGCACTCTCGTTCGCTGAGTTGCTTGTTGTGCCACCATGTCCTATACGACTCTAGGAAGGCGCTTGACAAGGGATCTGCGACGTCGATATTGCACAACTTCTTCTAGCATAAGATTCTCCATCTCCGACCAACTCCAGTCACATCCACCTGCTCATGCCACATTCTTCTGCATCTATGGCTATGGCTAAGCGCCATGACAGTTGCTAGGTCATCTCGCGGTCTGACACAGGCGACCAGTTAGCGCTGGTGCTGAAAGTCCATTGTCCTCCACAGCGAGCTCATTGAAGACAGATGGATCCAGGTCAGGGAACAAAGCAATCATTGCATGTATCAAGCAGTTTGCATGAAAAAAACAAGAGTCGCCTGACTGTGGCGCAGCACCTTTTCGCAGGAGCTGCCGGGTAAAGCCGAAGACATATTGAGATGGTTGGCACTGTGCTGCTCCATGTAGCGGCGTTCTGCCTCGTATGTTCCAGGCTCCCATTTCTCTTGAATACACAGCAGACCGACTGGACACCCCCAGTCACCGAAAGTGCCGAAGACATTCGCCCCCTTGTAGCTATTCATGCATTGCGTGAGAATGTTCCGATCCAGCAACAGCTTCTTAAAGCAAGCCCTGTCCAGCGGCCGCAGAAATCGGAGAGATGCATTGTCGATAGCCTGGACCGTGTGGACATCTTCGTGTGACGGCCCTTACTTGATGAAGCAGCACCTGGCAGCTCTTGTATCTTCATGACGAGACATTCCTTGACAACACGTTTAGCTGGTGTACAGGAATGGGCTATCTTCACCAAGTTATTCGCTTCATCGACCTTGGCATCGCCAGATCCAGCTGGCAAACAGGTATTTCCCGATAGACAAGTGGCAAGCCACTCTGTGTCGGCAACAAGGTCGGCGTGCACAGAACTGAGGTCCTAGATCATAGCCAAACATTCATCCATCGTATTATCCTTGAAGAAAGGAATGCACCATTCACGAAGAGACAGCGCAGCCGTAATGGGATGTGACACGTGGAAAGTGAGCGTGTCCTGCGGGATGAGCTTGCAGATACCTTTGGCATGAACGACTAGTTTCTGCTCCATCGTGAATGTAGCCTTACCGAGACCAACACCAACGACTCGCCGCTTCAGTTGATCGCAGGAACGACGAGGGTCCCACTTTCCTCTTATCGTCGCACGCCCGCATAACCTAGCCTGTACGCTATCGGTGGCAAGGGAGGCAGTAGCTAGTGCCGTGTGTGTGTGTGTGTGTGTGTGCTTCTAAAATAAATACGAAAGGAGAGATGCAACCGAGCGTTGAGGATCCTAGCGTAGGAGCCTACATATTTTACCCATACTCCTTTTGGGGATCCTTCTTATAAGTATAGCATCTATACCCCAAAACCGTATGTTAATGATCATTTATTCTTATTGGTCGTACTACTATTAGTGTGATTATTAATAACATTATTACGATTCTTTTTATCATTAGTGCCTCATCTGGAAGTCCACGTCTAGGGGTTTAAGGCTCAGGGGTTGTCTTGTATTTCCTATAAGGGACCGGACCTATAAACAAGAGCACAGCGCTAAACCGTGTTCCCCTCACCCCAAAACACCTAGCCTGCAAAACCTTTGAACTCCTAAATCCTGAACCCGTAGCGTTGCAAGGAACAAGGGGGACACTCTCCAGTCGAGCAGCTGCGACAGAAGGCCCTCTTTGAAGGCAGCCGTGACACCTGCGGTTGATGTGGGGCATTTTTCGCAAAGGCTTTTTTTTTTTTTTTTTTTGGGGGGGGGGGGGGGGGGTGCTTGAAATTCCCTCATTTGGAGGTCCTTGCAACAAAGGATCCTAACCTACCGAAACCCCGAAACTCTTCGAACCCTAAACCGCTAGGCCCCGAAAACTCTCAAACTGTTTCCATGCGGCCTTTCTTGGCGCGGACGCACGGAAAAGCTGCGAAGCTTTGGTTCGCAGCAGACATGATGCCTTGATGGTTTGCAGGGGGTTTGGGGGTTT